TACAAGATCCCCTCCGCCGACACTCCGGTTACGTGGGGTTGCGGGGCAGAGGATTGTGCCTGATCGTGCTGCTGCTTTCTTGCACAAACAATTTGCAAACGATTTCTAATAAGCGTCCTAAATTGTAACAAAATAGACGCGCATTTAGGGCCTTTTGTGCCGGAGCTGGCGATAACAAAGCGCCAAGCCGAGAGTCGCGACGACTTCGAGAAATGGAGTCGAAAACATGGTCAACGAAACAGAGGCTATCGAAAGGTGGCCCGGCCCCATTCCTGCTACCCTTTTTCGCCAAAAAACAGTTGAGCTTCACTTTAAGTCTTGTTTTACTTATTTCTGGGGATTTTTCGGGTCTTGTATGTGCCAAATTTCGCGCTTGATCGGCAAATTTGTTTGACGCATTGGCCATGGACTTAATCCATCCCAAGTTTTGGATGATTGCTGTTGGCTGAATAGACATCAAAGCTGCTTGGAGATGACAGCTCAATTGCTGGATAAATTACATTTCTGAATGAACTTAAGTATAACAAGAAAATTACCATTTCATAAGTGAGATGTCCGCAGGCCTTTTTAGAGCTGAGCACAAGAAATTTTTTAAATACTTTTCAATTATTTCAACACATTTTTATTGTGCAGACCACAAACAAAAGTATCTTTTGACTATATAAACAGATTTGTATTTGTTCACAAATGGACATTTATATAAACTTTTTATTTAATTATGTTAAGAATACTATTATTGTTCATCACTAAAGACTATGACTATTAAATCCCTATTTGGACGGCATTCTAGTTCTAAGATTGGTTACAATTTGGTACAAGTACTATACATCATCGGCCTTTAGTTATCCTTTTTTCCCACATTCTTCTCTTGAATGATCCTCTGTTCTCATTAGCTACTCCGATCTGTCGGGGCTTTCGGGTACAGCTTCTAGTCCAGGGAGCACTGACTGGAGCTTATGGGGAAAACTCCGGCCACAAGTTGAGCTCCAAATTCGGCTCCAAACTACGAAGCGATCGCGCAAAAAAGCACACTTCGTCGTGACAAACAAAATGCTCACGTTTATCGCAGACAAAAGATCTCAATTTTTACGCTAAATTTCATTCGGCTGGTCTGTTTTTATTTTTATTTATTTTTTTTTATTTTTGTCGCTCTTTGGCAAGTTCCCTGCCTCGATGTGGCTCCCTCATTTGGGCTGGATCTGCTCTGGATCGAGTGTTTTTTTTTTGTTTTTTTTTTTTTGTTTGTATGGGCAGGCTTTTGTTTGGAAAGTTTTTATTTTGGCTCGTTAAAAATTTGAAATTCAAAAAAAGTTTTGCGCCCAAACAAAATGACAAACAGCGCGCGAGCATTTAGCGGAGGGGCCAAGTGGGACAAAGAGTGCGAGGGTTTTGAGTATAGTTGGGAGAGGGGGGGGGGGGGTGAGCCCGAGCAGTCAATTGTTGTTGTTTATCTTTGCATATTCATAAAGCTCGATCTGTTTGTCGTTTGACTTTTCTGCTTTATTATGGCCGAAAATCGACTCCGTCGTCAGGTTTATCTATGAAACGGACTAGCAGAGCGGTTTGGGCAGTGATGGGGGAGGGAGCGGATGCAGGAGAGTTGGCCCAGCTGTAATTGCAAAACATCAGGAAAGTGATATTCGCTCATTGTATTACCAAATTGCACTACTTTTTGGCTAGATTTCAGCGACTGGTAAATCATTGTATTATATAAAATTATCCTTAGTATTTGTGGGCCAAGCTTCAATTTAAGTCGCATTTCCTCAGCTTCCAGACGGTTAGCTAGAACCTCTGTGCAGTCGAACTTTGGCGTTGGCGGCGTCGGCGGCTATATCGAAATCTATAAATTCCCGAATTCGAACCCTGGGCCAAGTGCATTTCGCACAAAACGTGCAAATAATAACACCATCTCCATCTATGCCTAATGATCTACGCCATGGTGATGTTGGCCCATACATAGACACACACACTTGCACACCTCGTTGTGGCCACTTGCAAGACAATAAAACGCGTTAACTGCTGTTTGCCTGCGCAATTGTTGGCCGGGAGCCAAGTTTTGTTTGTCTGGCTGTCTGCCTGACTTCCCCGCTCCATCCCGCCGCTTCCCTTGGCTTGGCCAATGCCAATATTGCACGCTACGCAGCCGTAGCGGCTAACTAATTGGCGAAACAGCAGCAGCAACAACAGCAACAACAACAACAACGACAATGGGTTAGCCGCATTGGGTGAAAAGCCGCCAACTAGCCATAGCCAAGCAGGTTGCCTCGGTGTGTGTGTGTGTGTGTGCGCGTGTGTGTGTGTGTGTGTGCGTGTTTGTTTACGCAGATGATATCGCGTTGTCGTTCAGCTCACGCACTCCCCATTACACTTACACTCTCGCATCTCTCTCATCGCTCTCAGCTCTTTGAAGCTTTTTTGGTTGGCCAACCAATGCGAGGCGCGCTGCCCCCACAAAACACTTGCGCTTGCTTTGCTTTTGCTCTCACTTCGTGCTTAGCTGCACTGTTGCGCTGTTTGTGACGGCACAGGGCGACAGATTTTGCATCAAATATTTTGTAATTTATCTTCAATATAGTAGCCAAACAATTCAATAGTAAAAAATAAATTAAAGTTGACTTTTCGAATTGGTTTAGTTAATTTACTTGTGCTTCAACTTCGATCATTTTCACTTGTATAACAACATATAATTAATAATATGTCACGAGTTGTACAAATAATTTATAGAGTATTCAATCAAAGGCTTGCCACAAAGAGTCTCTCTTTTGTTGTTGTTGCTGCTCCCTCGCAAAAATTAGCGAAAATTGTCAAACAAATGCAGGAAATAAATAAAAAGTGTTGTTATTGTTGTCGTGCTTTGTTGTTGCTGAATTTCGTGCGTTGCACATTTTCTCTTATCTATGAACAATAAGATTTGCTTATGACAATAATTTCATTTTTCTAGGCATTTTTAGCAAGACGAGTGGGTAGTTAGTTGTTGTTACTGGCTGTACGTATGCTTAATATAGTAAGTGTACAAGGAGAGTTAAGAAGTTGGAATGGGATGGTCGAAAACTGGTTTCATTCCACATAGCTGAAAAGATATAGTATTCTGTTTGACAGAAAAAGAAGTTTTAAGAAGTTACGATCGGATAGTTGAACATTCGTTTTTCACTTCTTTCCCTTGCATAGAAAAGTTGTACTCAGCTTGATTTTTTTGAAGAGTCCTGCAATCTGCATATCCTTAAGAGGTCTACCCTATTTAGGTTTTCCGAACTCAATCATTGCCCACCTGGAGGCCTTTACGTTGACTCTCACGCTAAAGCCTTGACCCCAACTTTTCAGAGTCTCTGGGAAAACGAATCTCCCACACAGCTCATGACCAAACCGCCCGCTTTTTATGCTCAAATTTAGGTGCAGTGAACTCATAATACTAGAGAATAAAAAAACGACACATTCGAAATGGCATTCATATGAGAAAGATGTTGCTCCATTTCCTACGGCTCGAATTACCAAAAAAAAAAAAATCATATAAAATACAAAAAAAGAACCAAAGCAGGAAAAGAACCTGTTCATCGGCATGGATTTCGACCTCGCTCTCCTGCTGGCTTGTTTCTAAACGTGAGCGTGCATACATAAAACAAGCTGGAAATTGGGAACTACCTGCCTACATATCCATCCCGAGTCCCGAGTGCCGAGGGCAACAGGCATGCTGACAAGAGCAAATCAACATTCGACAATTCTGCTCGGAGACTGTTCGCGGGGTCATGGGAAAATTTGTTTGCATCGGAAGTGAAACCGTTTTCTGGTCGGGGGATGGGGAATATAGGGGATACAGGATATGCAGCGTGATGTCGTTCGCAGCGTGTTTATTTATAAGTTATGTCATTCGTCTGTCTCATATTTATGTTAATTTTCATTTCCATTTGGACAAATATAACAGGAATTTTGATTAATGCAACGCACCTTTGCAACGGCTGCGGGGCAGCTGTGAGAACCCACGGAAGATCTGGCTCCACACTTCGCCCTGCCATCCACTTCTTGGCACATTCAGCTGGCAGCCACTTAAAATATTTGCTAGTCAAACAAAATATAAAAAATAGAAATAAACAAAAAATAACAATCGCTTAGACACACGGCACATGTCCAAATTGATGCCCTGGGGCATTGCGGTGCGTGGATATAACCAAAAATGGACTCATTTGCGAACGGTAAATTCAAATTGTTATGATCCGTAAATGTCAAAATTGTACGCGATGTTTGTCTTTTGCAATTCAAATGGCCCGCCCTCCCTTTACCTTTTCATATGATTCATCTCGGGGGGCACTTGTTGTGCTACTAGCTATTCAAGGTCCATTATCCAAGTGCGGACCATAAATAACGACTGCCCCGAGCCCAGAGCCCAGCTGACGTACGTACCTCAACCGTGGGCTCGATCTGTAGACTCTGTTGGCTTACTATGACTCTGGGTTTCTCTTTATGCTCTGAACTTTCTTCGATCAAATGAAATGCTCCTTAAGCTTAATTGTCTCTTCTTTTTTTTTCTTCTTCTTCTTCAATTTTATACTCATTTAGCAAAGCTGTGGGGCGGAGCTGCGGTCATTTGCCCAAAGATATTCAAATGCTATAAAAATATGTTGGATACTCGAGTTAGCTGGGCACAGTGGTACACAGTTCATTTGTTCTACCTAGCGAAAGTGTCAATAGAAAAAGAAATTGGACTATTTCGAGATAACCTAATATTTTTTTATATTTTGTTATGTTTATATATTTTTAGCATTTTCTTTTCGTTACTTTTTCTAAAATATAATGAAACTTTTCATACCAAAGCTGGTTTCATTCCTAACATTTATTTCATTAAACAAACATTGCAATAGTTTAAGCCAAATATTTTTTTTGTTTTGTATTAATATTCGTCTTGCAGTGAAACGTAGCCATAATTTTCTAATTAATTGTTTTTCTCAGTCGCTGGAATTTTTTCCACTGTGCGCTGTGCAAATAGTTTCAATATTTACACCGACTTTGACTTCAATTTCAGTCCAGAACAATAATAAAAAAAAGACACCCGAAAAATCCGGGGGCAAAGATTTCAACATAATTTTTTTTTTTTGGTATTTTGGGCAATGCCGGAATTGACTTGAAATTGGTTTCTCGATTGTTTATGCATTTTGTGGCGCACATAACTCGACCGGGACCGACAGAAGTCGAGAGAAATTCATAAATGCCAGAAGAGTGGACGACAAATAGGCGGCCGCAGTCAAAAGAAGGTGAATAGAATTCTGGTCCATAGCAGCTCCACTCCATCATCATAAACAATAATAGAGACCATAACAAACGCCGCGCGCGCCAAAACCAAGTGGGGAGCTCTTGGATAGTTTTTGTTGGACATCCAAAACTGATTTCATTTGCTGTGCACCCGTTGGCCATTTGACATGAATGTGAATCAGTGTCAGGCAGCCAAAAATGATTTGATTGTCTTTGCAGATGCAGCCGCTGTGGCAGCTGGGCATGCATCAGGCACCCCCGCGTGGCAGGCATGTTGGCCAAGTTGTTTCAGCCAGCTGCCACTTTCCAAAGCCAGCCAGAGCTGCCTCTGCTGCAGCTCAGCTCGTCGTTATGGCCCGTTGTCATAATCAAATGCGTTATCTGGTAGCTAACAGCCGCATAATTTCAAGTGGCTCTCAGTGCCCCTCGTTGGGCCTGCTCCAAGTGGATTTGCGGTTGCCTGGAAATCAACACGTTGCGCAGCTTCCAGCTCCAACTATCTGTGTATGTGTTTGCTTATGTGTGTGTGAGTGTGCTTGTGTTTGTGTTTGGTTTGCTGCTGGCATGATGGTAATTACGAATGTGTTGGCTCAAATGAAGCAGCTCGAAAAAGTGCTCGCATATAATAATGACAATAAAGAAATTATAACAATAATAAACTAATGGTGGAAAAAATGGTATGCGCCCAGCAGACTTTCGCCTTTTGTGGCCTATCCGATTACCTGCAGCACAGCCCTGTGGGTTAGCAGAGAAAGGGACTGGGGGTGGAGGGCATTACCTTTAAGTATGTCTGATGACGATTTCATATCAAATTACCTGCAGCTAACAGTAGCATATAACAGTATAATATATCATGTAGAACGATTTGTTCGAATCTAGAGAAAATTTGTGTTTCCCAACTCTCACTTCTAGCCTTGGCTTATGCAACTGATTTAAAAGATATAGGAGCAGTACCAGGAACTGACCATATTAAGAGTAGCTTGCGATTGGTCTATAGAGATTACATTCTTATGAGTTCATGCGAGAAATTATCAATTCTACCACCGATATGGCATAGATGAGCCACCTTTATGAGCATGCCTCCAATACTTTGAGGGAATATATCAGTAGGAAAGGTGTTACTTAACTGTTCAAATTTTGAGTTACAAAACAATTAATTATTTTGAGTGCGGGCAGAAGAAACGTAGCATATTAAGCGTTAGTATACCCCGTTTCTTCATAGGGTATATTGAAATGTTACACGTGAGGCGCGTGCAAAGGCGCAGCCTTTCTTGTTGTTATTGCAGCGGGCTGCACAAATTTCACTTGGTGCGCATTTAAGGAAATGTCGGGAAATGTCCATTTTGGTTACGGTTGCGATATTTCCTTAAAAGATTTTTCAACGCCAGCAAATGGAATTGTGGGTGAAAAGTTCAAATGTCAGCTAAACTTTCAAACAAAAGGTAAAAGTTATACGAAAAAAAAGTAAAATAAACAAAAAAATAAACAAACAGCAAAAGAAAGAAGTAAAAACACAAATAAAAGCCGCAAAAGAATTGCCAATGATTTTTTATGCAAATCATAAATCAGCCATAGACATTGAGACATAGAAATGGAAATGTAGACGTGAACCGAGAGCGCAAAGTGATTGGAATGACGGCGCGTTTGACTGATTGACGGACAGACTGTAAAAAATTTTGCCCTCCCCACCCGCAGGCCACCAACTGCAGATGTGAATCACAATTTTGGCCAGATTTTGCACACTTTCCAGATATCCCGAAATAATTAACACAATGAGCATTCGCAATGATGCGATGTCTGCGTCTGGCTGGGGCCTTAATTAATTTGAACATGGTTTAATTTCATTCACGCACAAAAGAAAGCTTCGGGTGGCATGGCCATATTGTATTGGCATTTAGCCCATGCGATTTGCAGTACCGTACCATCTTCATACTCTCTACACTTCAGATTGAGACCTGTTTTGCGGTCCCCGCACACTCATTGACCTGGCATCATTAGCACGCATCCCCAGTCAGCAGCCACCAGCCACCAGCCTCCAGCCCCCAGCCCCCAGCCCCCAGCTCAACCAAGCAGCAAGTGGGTTTCAATAGAAATTAGCAAATGTGTCGCATCATTAGCCACAAAGCCATAGAGCCAAGCCATAGCCAGGTTTTGTCTCCGCGCGCTGGAAGACTCTCAAATGCTGTGGCATCTGCACCGATCTTCAAGTTCCTCTTGGATCATTGTTGTTGTTTCGATTCGTCTGTTTTGCGGTTTATGGCGCCGGATTAGCTTGAGGATGCGGGCACCAATGTTGTCTCTTCATTTCTTCTTCTTTTCCTTGTTGTTGTTATTGTTGCTGTCTAACTGCGAATTTCACCTGAAGTTTTCGGCCAGTTATATAACAACATTTATTTGGGTTGGGTAGGTGTTAGCTGTTGATCGTTGATGATTTATTGAGTTATGACAGTGGGTTAAGTTGTGGCCAAAGTGTTTATTTTGTAGATGGAGGTGCCAAAATTGAGCGGAGAAATATCCACAGCACCACGCACAAGTGCTCAAGTCCCCGAAAGCAGTTAAAACAACGAAAGCGATAAAAATATACTCCATAAAAAGTTGCTGCTAAAAATATCATTACAAAGGACGCTTTAAATATTTAACTCTAGTTTCGGCTTGTAATTTCACCAAGAGTTCGTGTCAATATTTGATTATAGTTCCACGAGCTAGAATTGGAACATGTGGAAAGATTTAGTAGAACCTCCTCGCAGCAAATTATGCTGTTTGCTATTAAAAAATGTAGTTTTTAAGAATGTAGACTACGAAATTGATTTATCTTCAGCGAACGCGTCCCTTTCAGCGGCTTTCACCGGAACGAACTTAAATTTGAGCATTTTAGAGCCGTGTACAGCTTTCGCAGCGCTTGACAAAACTGCGGGGGGCGGCAGCCGTCGAGTACCTTTCTAAGCTCTAATCCCATAAATCTCGCCTCTCTCTTGAGCAATTTGGAAAAACTTTGCTATTTGATCAAATATATTTTCACACTTGCCTCATATATCAAGCGGGCAATGGGGCAAAATTTGCACTACAAATGATTTCAACACCAAAAGGCCGCCAAGAGCAGCGAGCAGCGAGCAGCAAGCGGCGAGCAGCGAGCAGTCAGGAACAACAGGCAATGCTGAGTTATGGGAAACACCGAGCGCATGTTGTACAAATTTTCTAAGCCCCCACAGCAACAATAAGAACGGGCCCAGACGGCCAGATAGACAGCCAGACGGTTGGACAGATGGATGGACTGACGGACACGCCAAAACGCCAACGGACGACGCCGAATCAGAACAAAAACAAAAAAAAAAAAATGCAGCGCAAATCTTCAAAACTGTGCAGCAGGCATAAATCTTCCGACGCCTTTCTTTCGGGGGCGGAACGGTACTGTTTTTGGTAGGGGCACAAAAACAAAATGCTGCATAATTTCCGGACCCAAGACGAGCTATTCTAAAAAAGCCAAATGGATTACAATAATAATTTTTCATATGCAGATTTTGCTACAGAAACTCTGCTGCAACAAGTTGCCAAAGCCATGAATAATATTTCATTTTGCTGAGCATTCGGGAATTCTGTCTAGCCTACGCCTGAGCTCAAAAAAGTTGTAAGATAAACAAATTTTGAGTGCTTGACTAGGAGATATCCTGTGCCAAGTGCATAAACTCGGAATATTCGGAAGAATATAGAAGTATATATATATCGATTTCTCTCAACATAATTAATTTTAAAATCTTTCGATGGTTTTATTCTAATTGTTGATGTGCAACTTTTATGCACCCCACTAAGTATTTAGTTCGTTCAGTTTAACGGGTTTGGTATAGAAAAATATCTATTGACCGAGCCGACACTCCGAGTATAGGGTATAGAAATGGGTAGTCGAACTGATGGATGTTTTCTTGATGCGCACTTCTGAAGCAACTCAGCGACGCCAATATGTTGCAACAAATTTGCATTCGACTGCGACTTGAACTTCCACTCCACTTGAGGCAAACAACCTCCACCTCCACCGCCACCTCCAGGTCCAGCTTCAGCTCCATCTCGAACTTGGATTGCACTCAACGATCGTACCGTGTATCATTGGCCATGCAAACGTTATCAACTTGAGGCTGCAAGAATTATTATGCTCTCTGCTAAATATAATAAAAACAAACCGGGCATAGTTTGCGGTTGGCCACAGGCCAACTCCACTTCCACTTGATGGACTTTAGTCAAAGTCAAGTTGGAGTTCAAGTTCTGGCCGACAGATTCTGCATAATGCAAGTCAACGTCGAACGCCAAACGACGAACGCCGAACGTCGATCGGGCCAGTCAGCCTCATCATCATATTGCCAATAACGCATGGATTTGTGCAATAGATTTATTGAATTATTGCTCTGACCGTGGCAGGTACATGGCTCCACTCGACTCGACTGGACCTCAAGTTCGCAGTATGGAAAAATGCATTTGAGTGGGTGATAAATTCAAGCCAAGCGATCCGTGGAGCGCACACATAGTCATTATACCAAGCGGCCATAAAAGAAAGCTGCTGAAGTACATGGACGCTGATGCGAGTCAGAGTCAAAGTCTGAGTCGGAGTCAGACTCGGAGTCAGAGTTAGTGCTGAAGTTAGAGACAGAGTCACAGTCCAGACTCTATGATAAGTCCAATTAAAGTTGCCATTGCTCCACTGCCAGCCAGCTGAAAACAAGACGAGAAAAGGCCGTCTTCAGATCGACGAATATTAAATACACTTGCAGTAAATCAATAACACTAGATAGTCAGCCTGAAGGGCAAAGTGATTTGTTTTAATTAAATTTTTAGCCGAGACTATGTATGGGTTAACGATCTAATCGGCTTCAACTTACTTTAAATTCAGCTGAAGAATTCTAATTACAAAAATGTAATTGTTTTTTTCAAGCTTTTAGAAATATATATGAAATCTGGGTTCATGAATGTGGAAAACCATGTTCAAGAATTGCATTTCAGGAAGTTGGTTCGAACCGCGAACCGAATCAGCAACCATTTCTTGTGTTTGGTAATAACAAATATATTTCGTGGCATCATAGAGTATAACTGCAAAATGAGCGCCTTAGTTTGGCCTAAACGCTGGCCAATTGGCCTGGCCATCATAAGCAAATAATCAAGCCATAAATCTCACCTGGCAATGAGCGATTTACGTTTCGATGCTTTTGGACATATTTTTGAAAGTAAAAACTATCAAAATATTCTGCAATTATTTGGCAATTTGTGCGCCAAGAAATTTCTATGATTAATTGCCTTCCAGTTGTGCCCTGCTCCAAATTCTGTTGGAGTTAGCTGATATTTAAATTTTTCAAAGCCAACGTCAACCTGCTGCGAGTCGAGAGATTCTCTCACTGTGAAGTGCACTCCAGTCCACCGGTCCACATAAAAAACGCTCAGGGCGCCCGGGCCTCAAGTGCGGTGTTAGACGGGGTTTACGGTCTGCCCTGCAATTGCTTTGATTTCTCTCTCCACCGAATACAGCACAATTACAAACGCTGACAGTAGCTGGCCGATCTTCAACTTCATTAGAGAGATTTCGATATTGTTTGAATGCCACCGTAAAAGTGTAATATACATACGTACCGGGGTACGTACATATATAATTGGTAGTCAGTGTAGCAGCAGGCTGGCACTTCACTTTCCAACTATGACATGGCAATAATAATT